CCTTGTCAACCCTGAGTGTTATTGGTGCGAAAGCGCCGATATAGTCCAGCTGTACCGGACGACAGCCACCTCAAAGACAATATGCTTGCTCATTACACCGTTTGTTATATCTTGTTTGTCTATTTAGGGAAATAGAAGTAGCATTGTATCAAAATCAATTTAATGAAACGCCTTGGCTGGCTGTTTATTGGCAACGACAGAATGAAAACATGAGCAGGACCAGGTTTTACACCTCCATATCCCCCAAACACGCGTTATATAGATTTTTACAAGAAAAAAAGAAAAGATTCGACGGACCCCTGGAGAGTGTTTGGTTGTACAAGTGAAGCAGTATTTTGTGCCATCTAGTAGAGTTTATACACGCAGCTGTACTGGGATAGATTCAAGTCCACCTCTTTTACCTCCAAGCTGATTTTGTTTCCCCACCCTCCCGTGCGCAACGCATGCTCAAAAGTCGCACGATATGAGCAAGGTGAAGAACATCTCCCGTTCTATTTGGGAGGACCTTCTTTTATCGCACCTCAATGTGCTGGACAGCGTTGATCCACTTCGCTTCATCCGCCCTGGTAGAAAAGTTAGATAGGTAGTTAGGTAGTATAGGGGTAGCAAAAAGACTTACTTGTCAAACTTGAGCAGCTTCCCCAAGACAGGGACCAGCTGTGCTCGTAACTTGCTGTCCTTTTGCTCCAAGAACTGTAGCAAGATCGTCTTTATATAGAGGGTGTCCCCGCTCTGCGCGCTCCCGTTGGCGACGGCGCTGCCGGTGGGCGACTCCATGGAGCTGCGGCCAGACCCGGCTGCGAGCTTGGCCTGCGTGCCTTTGAGCTCCTTGGTCAGCCGGTCGTACCGCTGGCGCGCCTCGTCGAGCATCTTGCGCAGCTCGGCCCGCTGCCTCTCGGCGTCGCGCACTTGGTTCTCCGATGCGTCTAGGGCGGTGCGTAGTTGTGAGACGGCGGAGTGCATCTCTGCTGCTTCGGCCTCGGCCTTCTCCTCTACGTTTTCGAGCTCCTCGCGCCTCCGCTTCCACGCCTTTTCGCGCTCCTCCAGGTCATCACGCTCGCGGCCGAGGGTCTTGATCTCCCTCTCGAGATCACGAATCTTCGACTTGAGCTCCTCGGTCTCGCGTACTTTTCTCCTGGCAACGGTGCTGGACTCATCCTCGATACGGTCGCGCTCCTCGATGGCAGCCTCCATGCGGCTGCGCATCTCCCTCACCTTGGTATCCGCTCGCTCGTCGACATCGGCCAGCAGCCTCCGCATGGTCTCGCCTTCCCGAGTCCGCTCCTGGAGGAGGCGCTGGACTTCAACCAGCTCCTCTTCCAACGACTCGGCTTGCGATTTCGCCTCCTTGAGCTGCACGGACATCTCTGCCGACTGGTCACGCATGCTGGTCAGGAGACCCTGAGCGTTGACGTACTGCTGGCTCTTGAAGTCCACTTCTTCTTGAGCAGCTGACTTCTCCTTCCTGAGCTTGTGTGTCTGTTCCTCCAACTCCTTGATGCGCGGTCTCAGCTTATTCGCTTCCTCCTGCAGCTTCTGGAGCTCACGCTCAACGGTCTGCGCCTTCGTGGCGAGTTCCACCTTCTCTGCCTCAGCCTTCCGGAGATCGCGCCCTGAAATTCGCTGGGCATTCTCCATCTGCAGTCTGGTATTGTTCTCCGCTGTAAGCTTGTCTTGCAGGTTCTTAACCTCAGCCTCGCGGTCGGACGCAAGCTGCTGTGCCCTGGTGAGGTCGCGCTTCATGTCCTTCTCTTTCTTCTCCATCTCCCGAAGCTCCTTCTGCTTGTTTGCGAGTTCCTCTTTAGTTGTCTTAAGAGTAGCCGACTCCTGTCGCAGGCTCTTGAGCTCAGGCTGCGCTTTCTGGAGGACTTCCCTCAGTTCGGTGAGGTCCTTGAAGCGGTTCTGGGCGAGCTGTTGAGCCGCGCCGAGATCAGACTTCAAAGCCGCAGTCTTCTCCTGGAGGTCATCGTAATCTTTCTGCAGAGCAGTGATATCACCCTGGAGGATAGAGTTGACCTCTGCATCCGATGCAGATGACTCCAGCTTCTTCTCCAGCTCCACAATCTGGCTCTGCAACTCAGCCTTCTCAGCTTCAAGAGCTTTGATCTTTTCCTTGGCCTCGACATGATCTTGACCGATGTTGATTAGATTCTCCTGCAGTGACTCAATCTCCTCACGGAGATCTTCCTCAGTCTTTCGCTGCTTGGAAAGGCGCTCGATTCGAGCATCCTTCTCGGATACCTCCTCCTTGAGTTTTGCGATCTCACTCTCAAGGGCTGAGGTATCAGGTAGCTCAGGGGCCACTTGCTCCGCGACCTCAGGGGTAGCCTGAGGGGTCGATACACCGGTACCGCCCTTGCCCTTCTTCTTCTTGTTATTCTTCTTCTTTGAGGCTGCCGAGGTGGCTCCGCCAATGGCACCTTGTGTAAGCGCCGGTGAAGAAGGGGCTGTAGTAGGCTCCGCCCTGACGGCCAGAGTTTGTGCGCTGAGCTGTTTGGTCAACTCATCGATCTTGCCTTGACTTTCGGTCTTCTCCTTCTTCAACGTGTTGATTTGAGCGTTAAGGTCATCGATGAGTTTCTTCGATACACTCTTGGCTGTGGAGGCATTGGCCAATTGAGTATCGAGTTCGCTACCGCGTTTGTCTGACTTGGCCAGAGAGGCCTCGAGGTCCTTGAGCTTCGCGGAATGAGTCTTCGTCTCTTCCGCCAATTTTACCTCCAGCTTCTTAAGTTGATCTTGCGAAGTCTCCAGTTTCTCGGTTAGTTTAGAAATCTCCTTGTTGCGAGCATCGAGTTGGTTCTGAAGGACCTCTTGTGACGACAATGAGGTGTCGCGCGATTGATCGAGCTCTGTAGTTGCCTGCTCTAGGCTCTCCTCCAGACTCGTGCTCTTCTCCTTTGCCACGGATAACTCCTGCTTCAAGGAGTCAACATCCTTCCGAAGCTGCTCGATTTCCTCATTCTTGGCGGCGATCTCAGCCTCGTTGTCCTTGGGAATTTCCTCGTCATCGTAAGAGAAAAGATCCTCAGCTTCCTCCTTCTCTTCGACGGTCGTTTCATTGAAAGCCTCCTGCTTAGGCCTGGGCGAAAACATGCCAATGACAGACATGACGGGAGACTTGACCCTTTCAGCTACGGGGACATTGGCGGGAGCAACATCCGTGGACTCCCTAGGCGACTTAGTCTCTTCAGGCTTCGTGGCCGTAGATTCCCCTGCCTTGGTAGCCGCGAGCTCCTCCTCGACCTGCTTCAGCTTCGCTTCCACCTCGTCATGCTTCTTCTTCAACTCGTCTTTCTCAGCAGATACACGCTTGAACTCCTCCAAAACCATATCTCCCTTCAGGTTCAGCTGGCTTAGATACTCGATAAGGGCGGTTGGATCGGCGATGGACGTCAGGGGAGTGTTCTCGCGAAGCGCTTTCTCGAAGGGCTCAATAGCCGTAGCCCTCCTGTGAGCAATCCTGTAAGATCGCAACAGCTCTACGTAATTCCGCAACGTTAGTGTCCTCATTCTGCTTCATGAACAGCCAGCAGGATACACGTAGATGGTCTCACCTGGATATGTAGCCTCCAATTTGTCCAGCTTCCGCAGCCTTTGTCGTATTTCAGGGGTCAAGACGGCGAGAGTTGTTGCAGATGAAAGCGCAGAGTCCTTCGACACACTCTGGGGATTCTCCTTTTCCTTGTCATCCTGAGGTCTGTCACCTTCGTCCTTCTTCGACTCGGCTTGCCCGGCAGAAGTTCCATTCTGCTCAGCGGGTTCCTTTCCATCTGTATCCTTCGATGTTGCGGATGGCAGCGTAGGTTTCGGTGTTCCGACTCGACTGGGTGCTCGGCTGGGTTCCTCGCTGTCGTCGATCACAAAGGCTTCCTCGAAGACAGCCGGGTCCGCTGTCGGTGCCGTGTCCAGTCCCACGTCGCCGCTCGTTGTCCTCCCCTTCTGTCGCCTCCCAGCATCGTTCCTACGTGTGGCCGAAGCCGACCGTGAGTTGCTGCCTTGCTCCGAGAGGGTCCTTTGCCGGGCTTGCTCCTCGGCGATCGTACGGTCGATTGCGCCCCTGATGCGCTGACGGGAGCATGCCACGTTAGCATAATCGAACGGCAGTCACAACGAGCCTAGGTGAACCGGAAAGGAGGAAAGGGGGCGAGGGGATATTCCTTTGGCTTTCAGGCCGAAGGGGGATGATTCTGGTTATCTACTGACTTGAAACATGGTGGCCTAGTCCTCTCGATGGAGGCTCGCCTCAAGGAATGGATTAATAAATGCGCCAAAGGAAAGGCAGAGAACACAAAGCAAACTCCTATAAACAGGCTTTCTGCATCATCTCGCAGTTCACTGCCCGATCAGGTGAGAAGGGGTAGAAGGCGATTGGCAGCAGCGCACGCTGGGTTTGTCGCAAGGCAGGAGATGGTGCTCGCTCCAAAGTCAAGGATGCTGGCTGGGAGCCTCGTGAACGACACCCTGCTAGTCTGCATAATCCGTATTAGTAGAATGCCAGCTGGATACTTTAAACCACATGCGAGACAAAGCCGCTGGTCTCACCTGTGGCTGGTGTAGTCTGTACCGGTACGAGCCGACAGCCGGGGTCCCTGGTGGCCCGCCTGTACTCGGTACCTGCCAGATTGGAAGTGCTATTTCGAGCTTGTGGCTGGTGCTGGCCCCTTGGAACTTCTCTGGGAGCTGCCCCAAGAGGCAATGAGGTCACAGCACAGGCCAGCAACCAAACGCTTATTGCCCTGGGAGCTCTGCGTTGCTACGAACACCTCGTCATCCAAATCAATATTTGCCAGTAATGGCATGTTCGTGAGAATCGCCAACACCGACTTCCCAAGCGGTCTCTCCCCGCGATCTCTCTGCCAGTCCTTGTCCTAGGAACCTTTCCTTTCTTTCGCTTTCTCTCTTTTTCTTCAGTGCCCACGTGTTTCCCGACCATCCCACACTCTTTGCTCGTCTTTCATTTATCTCGTCCCAATTATCACCACCTCCCACTCCACACCATGGTGTCGCTCTGGCCATGGAGGGTACGCATCGCCTTCTCTCGACTGCACTCCTCTTGCCCTCACTAACACTTCGCGCCAGAATGACTCCTCCTCCACAGCCTCGTTTGAGAAGACGCTGTCTGCCCTCTCCACCAAAATCAAGGAAACCCAATCCCGACTCGACCGAGTCCGCGCATCCTCCCGTCGATCCAAGGTCCTCAGCACCCTCTATCTCGCCTTCGCCTACCTCGTATATGCGATCGTGCTTCTCCTCGTCGTCGGCCACAGAAATATGGGCGCCTACGAATGGACCGGCCTCGCTGGCGGCCCCGTCATGTAAGCCTCCATCCCATCCAGAGGACACCAACTCTCTCCTCCCGGGTCTAAGAACAAGTCATTAACCGTATCCCATTATCTAGAATCTACGGCGTGAGAATAACCCTAGCCTCATACTTCTCGTTCCGCATCGACGGCCTCGAGTCCCGACTGAAGGAGTACCAAGAGGAGCGCACGGAAACGATCCAGAAACTCAAGGACGCAACCAAGTACGACTCCACCATGGAACTCATCGAGAAGTACGGCGGCGTCGAGGGCAAGCCCGGCCAGAGCAAGAAGAAGGCCGGCCCCGCAGACCCAGCAAGCCCAAACTCCGGACCCGAGGGCGAGAAGCAGGCCGACGGCGAGCGCAAGGGCAACACCCCAGGCCGCACCTCCTTGCCCCCTCCTCCAACCGCCAACATCCAGCGCCGACCCGTCACCCCCAACCAGTCCGGTAACCTGGAGCCAACGGCCGAGTTCGCCCCCAACGCGGAGCACCTACCTCAGTCGCCCCCCTCGCCCTACCAGATCTACCCCCAGCAGTACCCTTCGTTCCAGCAGCCAGAGTCCCACTGGTACGATCGCATCTTCGACGTCCTCCTGGGCGAGGACGAAACCGCCCCAAAGAACCGCATCGTCCTGCTGTGCGCCCACTGCCGGCTCGTCAACGGGCAGGCGCCCCCGGGTGTCAAGTCCCTTTCCGAAATCGGTCGCTGGCGCTGCATGGGCTGCAACAGGGAGAACGGCGAGGTCGAGGACGAGGGGACCCGCATCGTGCGGGAGGTCCTCGACGAGCAGGCCGAGGCAATCAAAGCCGGCCAGGACGACGATGGCAAATCGTCGATTGTCAGCGAGTCCGACAGCCCGGCGGCGTCTGTCAAGAAGCGACGGGGAGGGAGAAAGTAGGGTTATAGTTTTTTTCGTAATAGTCATGTCCATGAATGCGAATTGTTGACAATTCTTGTATTAACTCGGGATGAAAACCCAGCCCTTCATTCATTTTTTTATCTCGAGTAAAGTTCACATGAGCGCCATCATTTTGTGCACTTTCCACGTACATCTGCTGGGCTTTCTTTCCCAAGATGAGAGCTGTGGTTGATTATATCTTCATACGGAACAAGTGCTTCTCGGAAGGGGGTAGACCCAACTTCCAAACACCGATTAGCACACACATGCATGCCTCGAATCTATGGCGCTCACACGATAACCCCCTTTTATGCATTTTGGCAAAATAAAAGAATCTCCTCTAGATTCCAACATCTATCCATATATATCATTCATTGTGAGGTAAGAGCTCCTGTCCCAGACCCCCTTAGCCAGGACATCAAGCAATAGTCAACCCATAGCTGCCAGATAGCAAAGCTCCTTCGATGTGTATGTAGCTGTTTTCGGGGCGTTTGCATGTATGTGATGGGGGTTTTCCAACAGCAGAATACCAGAGCAGTCAGTGTCTTGGTGTTTCGCCTTCACTCCAACAGGGAAACCTCTAGGCCGGCCTTATATTCCTATCCATCAAAGAGGCCCCAACAAGAACCACAACACGGCTAACACACCACAGATGCTCTATCAAGCAATGTCGCACTTCTCTGTATAGACACCATACGGTGACTTCATCGCTTGCGGACTTCAGTTGCCCAGCCGTCAATACTTTCACCCCTCCCCCCTACCGCAAGCCCCTCAATCTTCACACCCTTCATGCCTGGAGTATCTTCCATCCAAGGATGTCCCGCCATGCCGCCAGCATTTGCTCTCTTTTCTGGGATAAGCTCAAGCATTGGCGTTAGGAAGTCTGCAATGCGCTTTGCCTCATCCTCCTTGAAATGATACTTCTCGCGGAGGACATCAGGCAGAGCCCAATGCCTTAAACGATGGATGTTGCGCAGCTCTCCCTTGCGGTTGAAAATCTCTTGACTCCATTTCCCACTAGCACAGAGCGACTTGGGGAATGGTCCCAAAAGCTCGATAATTTGGGCAATATGATCGTCATCCTTGCCGTACTTTGTGCCGGATTGGGGGTCGAACAGATAGTCACCAGTAATTAGCTCGAACACCTATGCGTTGTCAATATCCGATGCTCCAAAGGGAGGGGCAAAACCTCAATAGTTTGAAAAGCCACGGGGACATCGCTTACCATGGCAGCCATGCTCCAAACATCCGTACTGGCACCCCACTTGGACCCCAGAATAACCTCAGGAGAACGATACTGCCGGGTCTGGATATCATTGGTGAAGTGATGATTTACCCAACAAGCATTGCCAAGATCTGCGATCTTGACACTGATGATATCGTGGGCATGTGGGTCTTCGGCCTTGCGTTTCTCGCCGGTTGATGCTGATGAAGAATTTGACTTATCCAGAGAGATACCTGATACCTCGCGTGAGAGCAAATCACTTCAAATCCATGTCAGATAAGCAATCCACGGCTATTTAATCAGGAAAACGATTGAGAAAAGGGAGAAACTTACGTGCTCTTTTCCCTTTGCTTCTGGGCCGCCTCAGCCGACCTCGGTGATTGATCTCCTTTCTTACCTGACCCTAAATGCAAGGCATTAGCGCAAGGGTCTCTCAATGATGAAGGGAAATATGGATGCAGGGAAATACCTTCGTGAAGCATTCCAGCCAAGCTTGCCTGGGCACTGGATTGGGGGAAGAGGTTGGCGTGGTTAAAATTGCTGTTGAGAGGGGATGGCAGCGGCTGGCTACCGGTGATGAGAGTCCTTCGTCGTCTCCGTCCATTGCGATTACCTGCTTCCTTATCCCCCGGCTCGCTCTTGACCACCTTTTTTACGATCTGCTCAACATCTCCGATTTCGATGAGCACATTCTCCGGCTTTAAATCGGTATGGATGATGCCGCACTCCCGATGGAGATAATCAAGACCTAGCAGGACCTGCTTTGTAATCTGCTTCACAAGGGGCATTGGAATACCACGATGGTTCCACCTCTTAATTAGGCCCAGTAGATTTTCACCCAATACCTCGAATACCATGCAGACGTGAGTGCCGTTGGGGCCCTTGTGTTCAAACGAGTCGAGAAGGCTCACAACATGTTTCCGGCCTGGATGGTTCGGTTTCGCCTGGACGATCTTGTTGAGAAGCTTGATCTCGTCGTTCGCCGTCTCGGTGTAGTGCGCAGCGGACCGTACGACTTTGAGAGCAACGTGCTTGCCGTTGGTGTTGTCTCTGGAGAGCCAGACAGTCGAAAAGTGCCCCCAGCCCAGTTTACGAACCACGGTATATTTCCCATCTTTGTACTTCTCGCCAATCTGGACAGGATGGTAACCACCCTTGCAGTAATCCTCGGAATCCTCCTCGTCGGCCGTGTTCTCGGCGGGGTCGTCGACGGACGAAGTCGATGGAGACTGTGTCATTGGGCCTAATTGATGTGATCTAGTTTGATAAGAAGGTAAAGGTTAGATGCAAGCTTTGAGACGGCAGAGAATCGTTCATTCAACGAAAGAGGTGGCGATGAATTAATGCAAGTCGGATAATGGAACAAAAGAGCGGGCGCGCTAAGTGCTGAGGGGCTGGCGACGGGCTAGATGGGGATGGCGGGGTGCGGAAAACGAAAACGATGAAGTGGCGACGCGTGCTGATGAGGCAAGTTTGGACAAGAAGCACCGCCAAACCAGAATATCCCTAGAGAAATAGGCGTTGCAGGAAAGAAGACAAAGCAGAGATATCAGACGTGAATGTGAGGGGTGGACAGTGCTAAATATCGGAAAAGGGACCAGCGACAAAGAAACCAAACTTAGATTTGCTGGCGCCAAATAGTCAGGTATGTTAGGGACGGGAGGGGGGAGGGCAACCTGGATTTGAGAAAGCTCATCGTGCCTCTCTATACATGGCGCACTCCAGCGCAGCGGATAGGTGGATAGGTATAGGTGGTGTAGCGTCGGGTAATCAAGTCTCTATCGAAGAGACTTCTCTCGTCGCGCCCTGCAAGCAACGACGCCTCGATGAAGAGGAGGAGGGAAGGCAGCTGCACAATGCACACCGCGGAATTCGCTGAGGGCTTTGCTTCGCTTGCAGAGTCTGGGAATGGGAATTTCTGCCTGGGAGTGGGCAAGACAAGGTGCGAAACACTTGCTGCGCGTGGTAGGCTAATTCCAACGGTACCCAACTAAAGACGCTTGCAGCGTGCTGTGCAGCTCGTGCTTGGGCCTGCTCGGGCTTAGGCAAACAGCGCCCCTCAGCACAAGGACAGGGTGTGGCATGGTGACCTTCAGTGGCCGTGTTCCATCAGGTGGCCACTAGGTGCCTCTGGGGCTTGGCGGTCGAGCACCAAGAAACCCCCCCGTCAGCCCACGCCAGCAATGCGGCCCAGTCCGTGATGCGCGCTGCATCAAGCTAGGTAGATGCTGGCCAATCCTCTCCAATCGTCAACCCCCTAATAATTCTTATGGGGCTGGCGCTTGCAGAAGGAGAGGGAGAAAACGGCCCATGGCACTCGCCACATGATGCGACGGCCGTCAAGGTCTCCTTTGAACCGCGGAACGGCAGCTTTGAGCCTGCAAACAGGTCTCTGGCCCCAAGACGATTCGAGGAGACCCCATTCCATCTAAACATGATCGGTCGGTGAGCAACTTCACCCCACCCGATGTATACATGAATACCTGCAAGGATGCCCCAGCTGCAGGCTCCATCTGTCTTCGCTCCCCTCAGCAGCCAAGTGGTCGTTGGAGAGGCTATCCCAATAAGGGATCTGCACTGATTGTGCAACGTGTAGCAGTGTGTTATTTTTTTTTAATAAAATAATAAGCATGGTGAATTGATCGCCAGCTCGGGGGAACTACCCCAAAGTGAAAGGAGACGCATTCCCACTTGTTGGTATGTGCAAATAGCACCAACACTGACGCGCACCAGCCAGGTTCAAGAAAGCACTGAAGGGGGAGGGGTTCAAGGAGGGGGGGGATATCAAGAGAATTGGAATAAAACTGCAAAAATACACGAAAGAGATGACATACCCGGGCGATTGGCTTGGCTGAGAGGCACTCTCGGTTGTGATTATGGGTTTCAAAGTTTCCTTCTTGCGCTTCTTTGCGTCTTGGCCAACCCCATTCGCCTCGTTAGGGTCCGGATTGGGCGGTGGCTTCTGAGCTTCGACGGATGCCTCAGTTCCGTTCATTTTGTGCTCCCAGGATTCGTCCGTATCGCTCTGATAGCTCGGTCAAGATTGTGGCGGAGTGTATTCCTGCCTAATGAGGGGCAATAGTATAGCCCGTGTAGATATGCAGGAATTGGTTCGTTCAGTCTATGTTATTGTATCGTGAGTCGAAGCGGGGCAGATTCGTGTCGAGACGAAAGCAGTTAACAGCCTTGTAAGCTTGCGAGTTTGTGTCGCGATGAGGTAAATTAGTCGGCCGAGGATCTGTCGATGGCCGTCGATGGCGTCGGCTTTGCCTGAATGCGCTGGCTTTTCACGCTGGGATGTCTCGGTCTCGCTAAAGGCTGGCAATCAATCCCATGGAATGGAATGATGCAGAATTGAAACTGGGAGAAGGGAAGGCGCGACAGTCTTGTTGCTCTCGTTGGATCTTTGGATGTATTGGGCAATCTAGAGTTGGGAAGATGGAATCGGCAGGGCAGGGCAGGGATGCTCCGTTCTAGTAGTCGCAAATGATCAGCTAACGTCATACACGTTTGAGGTATCGGACATTGGGAGGGTCAGGCTGGGAAAGCAGAAGTCCATGCAAATATATCATGCGGGCTCGAGCAAATGTCAAGGCTCTCATTACTGCGATGGGCACAAATCTCATCTTGCCGCGTCTGGTCGACGGTCGCAGGAAAGCTGCCTGCTCGGGGTCATTCCTCATCATGGTTCTCCAAGTGCGACTTACACTATGAGCAGCAGGGCCTGCACAGGGCTGTGTATAAAAACAGATCAACGCAAAAAGAGAGGGTGCGG